GGTCGCCCGCGTTCAAGCCAGACAGAAGCTTCCACAGGCTCGCGATCGTGTGCGATATAAATTCATGTCTGTCAGTGTTCTTGCCCGGTGACTCCGGCCTGAGCTGCTCGTGTGAAACACAGGTAGAGGAGCACAGTGACGGCTGAATGTTGTCGCCGTTTGCCATTGCGCATGCTGGCTATTTTGTTGCTTCCTCTATTCAGGATTCCAGCGTTCTGGAAAGTACAGGCATTGTTGCAGGCTGCACAGTTTCCTGTCACATGCGAGAGCCGATTCATCCCTCTCACTGCCCTTGCATGTTCAATTATTCGAACCTGGAATAATTTGTCGGTCTCTCCAATATAGTTAACCTCACAGGAATCGCAATTGACGCGATAGACGATGTTTTCCGTTTCGCCTTGTGACAAGAGGTCTTATTGTCACCCAGACCGGTGGGCGTTACCAATCTCCAATGGTTGTAAGCGACAAGCAACTGCTTCGGATACCTGCTCGGTATTTTCACCTTTTCTGCTATAATTTGCGCTGGCTGTCCACTATGTCGTACAGGGTTGTGGGTATACCCGTTGGAAGTGAGCACCCGTAAAAACTGCTGGAATATGGTATTTTTTATGGCATAACGAGTAGTTACTGGAATCCTTTTGGATCTGAAGCTCGTTGATGACCATCCTGTGTATCATCCTCAGTTTCCCATTGACCCTACTTTGGACCAAGAATTCTAGGAAGTTTGTCTGACATGCCTCTACTTTGGGTTGAATATCAGGAAGAATGGAATTCAAAAGCGCGTGGAGTTCCGAGACCACTTTTCCGTTTGAGGACGATGGAGGTCTGAAATATTAGTGTGTGGATTCCGACCACCGTTTCAGCTATGTTACCTGAAAACTACTCCTTTTTCTCCTGCACTTTACCGTCAAGGATCAACTTCGTCTTAAAGCAGGATTAGAGCAACATAATTAAGCGTCTCCGTTTGGACATGTTGGTTGGCTTTCAAGTAGGTCGCAGAAAATTTTAATCGCGAGATTCTGTGAGATCGAAATTAAGGGTAAGGTTACATAAAATGATACCATGATCATATGTGTGTTAAGTTTCAACCAACGGGGTCTTTCCAGCAAATTTATACCTGATCGACTTTCAAACATTCCATCTGAGTATTACAGAGGGGTGTTGTACATGCCGCCGGTGCACACAAGGTTGGTAAAACAATAGGCGATACTGTAGAATGGTAGGAAAATGGCTCGAGGGCTCCATCAGAATTGTTCTATTCTTAACCCAGACACCTTCAAGGTGCTCAGCTCTTATTGGCGAGGATGGCACAATCCCGTTACACCGAGCAGTCGACAAATGAGCCAGATAACGGAAAGTTAGACGAGGCAAGGAGTTGATGGTGGATACCTCCTAAAAATAATTTTCTTTTACGAAAGAAACCAATGGAACTGATCTACAATCTTTCCTCCAACGGACTGATGCCGGCACGCACATTCAAGTGATAAAGCACGTGTTGTGTTAGTTCGACCATCGCAAGCGAAGATGTCCACTATTTGCCCGAAAGCAAGTGACTGTAATCAGGTATAGTGAAAGTAGACACGCCACGATCTTCCCCACTCTAACTAACCGCTTTGACCGGTGACAAGACCAAAGTCGAGATGAACAAAGCAGGCTTTGGGCGGAAGCCATTTTCTCCAATGCGGCCTGAATTACCGCCTAACTTAGCCTTTAGTGACAGTAGACTTTGCGCGGTTGCTACTGCACTGTCTACTCTCACTCACCTATAGTGTCTAGCCAGACCTTAGTAAGCAGGACTGGTACTGCTACTACCGGTACTGCTACTTGTAATACTACTTACTAGAGTGTAACTTAGTGATAGTATTTGTTGGTACTATTACTGACTGTTTTGTAGGTCAGAAATGACGTTGATTAAAATCAGCACTGGGCTTATATCCCCTCAATCTCGGCAAGAAGTGCAATAGTGCTGGCACTGACGCCACCATTTGTCAGAGATGACGCTGATTAAGCCAACGCTAGAGCTCATATCCCCTTGGTCTCAACAAGGGGTGTGACTCTTGGTTTAACTATTTCGGATAAGTACATGCTTGGGTCCTGAACACAGCAGTGTTTACCTTGGTTTCCGCACTCTCAACTCTATCAGTCGAGCTGTGTACGTTTCTACTAGGTCTGGACTAAGATACTGCTGCTATAGGTATGTGCCTATGCTAAAAGTGCTTATTTCTAGCAATCATGCTTACTAAGGCCAGTAGCTGGTGTACTATAAGTACTGCCTGTGTGTACTTTTTAAGGAGTCGCACCCCGTATGCACTCCCAATCCGTGTGAGGTAATAGTGATTAGCATTCGGATAATAATAGAGCGTTTTTAACGTAGTGCACAAGTCCTACCGTGCCCTTATGTCGAGCAGTTTGCCGTCTTCTGATTACATTTAGGCCTA